AGATCCAGCTATCGCTCATTTGTTTCTGTACTGGATGACATCAGGCCCTTCTAGGAAACACTAAGTGCCTTCTGTGATGCTGCTGCAAGAGCAGATGGTTCAGCCATTGCTGTGGAGAATGACTTGTGATTTAAACTCAGGATCTCAGTAAGAAATTGTGAGTCATTCAGGTATCTATGAGCTTAAGGTGCTATTGAAAGAAGAATTATTTTGCATCCATAAGTGCTTAGGAACTTCTGGTCATACGTGTTGCCAGATGGCATCAGTAATTCTAAATGTATGTAGCAGAAAATGCAATTTCCTGGGAATGTTACACAGCAACTGATTCACAGTGTGGCCTTCCTTGTGTGATATGCACCTGTGACTTTTGAACTGTCTTGGCATCCATTCTGTTGTTTTGCCTGTTTTGCTTTCACACATGTAAGTTTGCTGTCTTGGGCAAATGGCATGGGCTCCAGGTACTTAAAGTAATTTTTTTTGATTGCAGTTTTTCCTCATCTGTCTCCTTAGATAGCTACAAGTTCTCAGGGGCTCTTGACATCCATTCCTGTTAGCACAGGGACTCTTGTTTTCAATTTTCTTTCTATCTTTCAATTTTCTCAATTTCAATTTTTTTCAATTTTCTTTCTTTCTTTCTATTGAATGAAGTGTCAGCAAATGACACACCATGTTTTGCTGGTGCCATGCTCTGATTTAACAGGGCTGAATATGGCCTCTATCATCTTTCATTAGTAGGTGCTTTCTTTCCTTCTACTGACTTGTTGTGCTGGAAATAATGGGGATTTATAGAGACATGCCTCATATGTACTTCTCTGCAAACTGCTAAATCTCATGTTCATCAAAGGTGTCTTGTTGTCAGGCATTACTAGCACAGGTACTGTAAAATGCAGCAAGGATAGTACTTTGTCCATGATATTTGTCATGGACAAATGACTTAGCTTTACTTCTATGTAGGAATGAATTTGACAGTTGAGGATGTAAATAAGTTTGTTTTCACCCTGCAGCAGTGAAAAATCTATGCTGCCTTTGCTCTAGGGCATCAGGATATTTTTGCCTTCTTCCACAAACTACATCTTTACCTCTCCTTCTGTCCTGTGCAACAAGCATAACAACAATATCTTCAAATTTGCTGTTCATCTGAGGCTGGTGTAAAATATCATTGGTCCTAGTTTTAGATTTTAAATCCATAAATGGTTCTGTGCATGTCCTTTTAAAAACTCTTTTTTGTCTGATGTCTGAGGATTTAATTTGCATTGAAATAAAATCACACTGAAGAGTTAAATTTAATCCTTTTTAGCCTATTGTAATTTTAAGGTGTAAAGCCTGACTTTTAGCTATTATGAACCACTTAGAGCACTGGTGTTATCTGTAGCACTAGCCCCAATCACTTTTT